TTATATTATATTATATTATATTATATTATATTATATTATATTATATTATATTATAAATATAAATAAGTAAATATTATATTACATTATATATTTTTACAGTGCATGGTTATGAAATTAATGTTCAACAAGCTGCCCTTATTTCAGACAACAATCTCTAGAGATATCTTAAAACAATTTAGTTTTTCTTATCTCATGAACTGCAGACTATAGATTTTTACATTTTAATTTATGAATATATATTTATTTCAGATGATGGCAGAAGGGTAAAATATTGTTCCTTCTGGGAACATACTGTCAGTCTTGTTAATTTTTGCATTGCTACTCATATGAAGCCTTTTCTTATGAGTCAGGTGTGCACATGAGTGGGAGGAATGATAAAATAGCACTACATTGACTAGGAGATAAATCACACTGGATATCAGACAGTCTATCTCCACCCCTCACTCTATAACTGAAATCAGGTCGGTGCACAGATTTGCACAAATGCATCTGCACAAACCTCTAAAGCTCCAGGCTGCAGCAGAGGCCACAGTAGTGGCTGTAATGTCTGCATCTACTCACTGCAACCTACCAGCCATTGCTCACATGTTTCTCGGTGATAGAGAACAGTAGATAGAAAGCAATCTATTACATAACATTGCAATAAACATAAAAGGTCATCCACTGCTGAGTAATTCTTATGAAAAATAGTGGTCTGGCTTGTTTTTTAAGCTTCCAGTGTTCACAAAAATACAAGACACATAATATTAAAATTACAGAATAATATGGAATGCAAGAAGACCGTTTAAGTCTGTCAGAATAGAAATAGAAATAATAGAGGAAATAGAATAAATAGTTTAAGTCAGAACAGAAATACAGTACAAGTATCTAAAGATTTTGTGCATATTTACAGTGCTATGAGCAATAATATGAATAAATAGGAGTGAATTTGCAGTGGAAGTATAGCACCAAGAGAGGCCTTGGGCAGTATTAAACTGTTCAGGAGGGAGATGGCCTGTAGGAAGAAGTTGTTCCTGTGCCTAGATGCTCTAGTGTTCTGAGTCGCTGGCCAGATGTCAACAGTTTAAAGAGGTTGTGGCCAGGGTGAGTGGAGTCTGTGATGATTTTCTCTGCCCCCTTCCTCACTCTGGAAGATTACAGGTCCTGGAAGGTGCGCAGGGGAGAACCAAAAATCCTCTCAGCAGTCCAGACTGTCCATTGTAGTCTTCTGATGATAGTCAAGTAGAACTGTGTTAGCAGCTCCTGTGGCAGACTGAAGTTCCCCTCGAGCTGCATCGCAAAATGCTTTGGGAATGCTTCTGTGTGACCATGCTCTGAAACACATGTGTAATCCGTCCGAGGGAATCCCGTGTGATGTCACCGGCGGGAATGACGTAGGGACCAGGAAGTATAAAAGCACATGCGGTGGAGACAGCGGCAGCTTCTATTATTCAGTAAGCACTCTATGTGTGTTCGTTCTATTTATTGTTGTCTGTCTTTGGAAGTTGTATCATATTGTCATTGTTATTGCAAGCAAAGACAAGAAAGTGGACAAGCAATCTTGTCCCGCGTTTCATTACGGGTGGGGATGCACACAGTTTGTGTGTTGCTTGTCTGGGAGAGGAGCACGCTCGGTCAGCTCTCGAGTGTCCACATTGTGTTCACCTCACGATGCGGACGCTCCGCTCCCAGAGAGTGCTCTTCAAGGAGGGCGCTCTCTCTAGCATTCCTCGCGGTTCAGGTCCTGCTTCTGCCAAAGCAGAGCGGCGACTCAGATCGCGGGGTTCACAAATGGATGTGGCAGAGGGATTAGAGACAGGCAGGTGCTTTTCTCTTTCCTCACCTGCCAGATCCAGCGCTCTCTCTCTCAGGGAACGGAAGCGTGTTGGAAACGATTTCTTCCACCCCTGGAGAGGGCTCGGTGCTCCATTTATCTTCCTCTGAGGAGCTGGTGACTAGAGCTGTGGCCAAATTAAACATTGACTGGCCGACTGAAGTGTAGGAAGAGTGTCCGAAGAGTAAGCTCAATGAACGATTCCTGTGCTCTAAGTCACTGCCTCCACGCCGGGGCCTGACGTTTTTTTCCCGATCTGCACACCGAGGTGTCCAGATCGTGGAATAAACCTTTCTCAGCCCACATCTTTAGTCCCGATGCTACTACGCCAACGTGGTGGGACTTAAAGAGCATGGTTATGGGACGATGCCCCGGGTTGAAGTGATGTTTGTGAGTTATCTCTCGCCCGGTGCGGCATCGTCCCTCAAGGCCCCAGTATTACCCACCAAGCCACTTAGGACTTCTTCGGCTTTGGTTGGTAAAGCGTACACGGCAGCAGGTCAGGCTGGCGCTTGCCTGCACACCATGTCGGTGTTGCAGGTGTATCAAGCTGACCTGCTGAAGGAGATGGACGAGGGAAAAGATATTAAGAGCGGCTGCGTCGGGCCACCAAGGAGACCGCCAGAGCTATTGGGTGGTCCATGGCAGCCTTGGTGGCCACCGAAAGGCATCTGTGGCTGACCCTGTCCAACATCAAAGAAAAGGACAGGGTCTTTCTTATGGATGCCCAGCTAGCACCTTCTAGTCTGTTCGGCGACACTGTAAATACAGTCGTCAACAGATTTCAGAAGGCCAAGAAACAAGCGGCGGCGTTCCAGTAATTTCTCACTCGCCGTAGAATCAGCCCCAGCCGTGTACAAGCTCCTCTCACAGAGAAGTCCAAAATGGAGCATCGCCACTCGTACTCCCCCACAGAGAGAACAGGAGTCAAGGCCGAAGTCTTCCAGAGATGTGACGGATCTGATGACTGTCATTAACAGCAGGAAGGCAGGCCCCTCTGGGGAAGAGAGGTGTACACCTCAGCATACAGTGCCCTCAGGAGATTGTCTCGTTAACCCTGCCACCCCGGTGCTTCAGGGCACAGCGTCTCCAGCGAGTGCAGCTCTCAGCCTCCGCCCAGGAATGTAGCGGTTCTGGGAGGCTCGCTACCTCCAAGGAGGTATCTAGAGCAGTTAGATTGGCCGTCCATGGTTTGCAGACCTGGTAGCCCTACTCGAAGTCTCTCCATTGGAGATTCCCGTCTGGTGGGATCTCCTCTCACAAGCAGGGTGCACCATTGTTCACCCCCGTCCGGAGTTGTGGAAGCTGAAAGTGTGGCCCCTGAGGGGGCACAACTCATAGCTTCCGGTCTCTCTACTGAGGTAGTGGAGACCATACTCCAGTCCAGAGCTCCCTCCACAAGGAAATCATATACTGCTAAGTGGCATCTTTTCACTTCATGGTGTGATGAACGTCAGTTACACCCAGTTAACTGCACTGTTGATCCAGTGCTGGAATTTCCACAAGATCGTTTTGCCACAGGGTTATCCCCCTCCACTTTGAAAGATTACGTGGCTGCTATTGCTGCTTACCATGCCCCTCTGGGCGAGCAGTCTTTGGGGAGGAACCCGCTAGTAACACGTTTCCTCAAGGGTACCCAGAGGCTGAGGCCTCAGGTACGCCCTGGTGTGACTGCTTGAGATGTGGCTGTGGTTCTGGAGGCCCTTTCTAAAGCTCCCTTTGAACCTCTGGAGGTTTCATTGAGGTTTCTCACTATTAAGACTGCATTTCTGCTGGCTATCTCTTTCTTAAAGAGAGTCAGTGATCATCAGGTCCTGTCAGTGGTCCCATCTTGTCTTGAGTTTGCTCCTTGCATGGCCAGAGCCTTTCTGTATCCCAGTCGGGGTTTGTCCCCAAGGTACCCTCTATTGTTCCATGGCCAATTATTCTTCAGGCATTCTGTCCTCCTCCCTTTCGGGATTCTGATCAGGAAAAGCTTAATTGTGTGTGTCCAGTGCCCTGTGGAGGAAGTCGGACCAGTTATTTGTTTGTTACGGTCCTTATAATAAGGGTCTTCCTGCGAACTCAGCAGGTGGATAGTGGATGCTATCACTACATCTTACGAGTCCTCTGATCTCCCCTCTCCATTGGGGGTCAGGGCTCATTCCACTAGAGGTATGGCAGCCTCCAAGGCCTTCTCGTCCGGTGTTTCAATGTAGAGATCTGCACTCCCGCGGGAGTACCGCGGGACCCAATGCAACAGGGTGCGGCGCGGGACAACTCTTGATGGGCGAGTGTGGGTGCGGGCGGGAAGAGACTTGTGTGTGTGCGGGATGCATGAGAATAAAATGATTCGCGGGCCTCCCGCAAAATAGAAATGATCTAAACATAAAGTGTCTAAAACATATAAATTGTTATTTATCTGTTGCACTAAAGCAAAAAGAACAACTAATATTAACATTAAAATTATTAACCGCAAGCTAGACATAGCCTAGTTTCCATTTATAATGTAGCCAATCACAGACTCAGCTGTTGATTTCTGGAACGCAATGGCCAATCAGAGGTGATCAAGTTAGAATCTACTCACCGCAGTGCTGAAATTGCGTGCTCACGAATCCTCTCATTTTAGACACTCTGAAAGATTCATTGTGCATATATTTAGTATATTTAGTGTTATAACAGAGCTTTATGAGATCGCGATTAACTGAGATGTCAGCTTTTTGTGATAATAAAGGAAGTGTGCTGCTCGCATTCTGCCATGCCAAACCATGCACGCAGCAGCCCATGCTTGCTTTCCGTAAAAAATAACAGTGGTTGTGAATGTTGATGCTTAGTCTAAATAACAAATATTTTATCGGTAGTAGTTTGTTATGTTTATGCTGGGATGTTGTGGAGCTTAGGAGATGTTACAGAACCATTTCATGTAAATTTCTTCAATGTACTTAAAACAATCTATATAGATTACTTTTATGCGGGCTTTTGCGGGCAGGAGCGGGACAAAACATGAATGTCGCGGGCGGGAGCGGGACCAGATAACATATATTTTTGCGGGAGCGGGCGGGCGCGGGACAGAATCTTGCGGGAACGGGCGGGAGCGGGACTAAAAAATCCGTCCCGCGTTGGTCTCTATTTCAATGCACGACATTTGTGATGCTGCGGGATGGTCCACCCCTCTGACCTTCGTCAGGTTCTATAGCCTTGACCTTCATGCCACTCCTGGCTCCTGGTCGAGAGAACTGGCTCCTCAGTTCTCTCGACCTAGCGGTGCCATGCCACACTGGTCAGGGATTGGTCAATCTGGGGATGTGGGCATACTCCTTTCAAAAGCGTTTCGCAACGCAGCTCGAGTTCCCAAAGGGGAATGTCACTAGGTTACGTATGTAACCCTAGTTCCCCGAGGGAACGAGACGCTGCGTCTTGAAGCCA